CGCACCGCCCCCCCCCGCCTCACCCCGCCGGGGCGCGCATATCAAGAGCATTCGCGAGCCCACGCCTCGACGCCACCGCCGCCCGCCGCACCGGCAGCGGCAACGTCTGGACGGAAGAGGGCGGAGCTGCACAGGCCCAGAAGAACAATACGCTCACGTCGTTTATCATCTATACGTAACCACATGCATGACTAAGGAGAATTGATGAGACTGTTCTGGAAAGAAAGGAATTCTATTTTTGGAATAACTAATCATTTGTATGAAAATCTACGTGTCTTAGAAATTAAAATGTGTACCTATACTTTGGTTGATTTATACTCGCAAATTTATAAATATATTTCATTTTGACTTCTAACTAATCAACCGCTGTTGGTTTTCAGCGTTACTAAACGTGTTTAATGATGTTTGAAATTATTAACGACGTGAGAAGTTTTAAGGTGCCTCAGAAATTCTACATTAGTCCATTTCAATGTTTCGACCCTTCTACAGGGACCCCAAATTGCCATCATTTTAGACATTGTTCAATATCCCAACGGCGCCCTTTCCATACCGCCCTTCCCCGTGAAAATAAAAAAAAATACATTGAAAATGACAACTGACATATTAAGCTCATTTTCTCCAATATGCCAAAAAATACCCACTTCAAAGGCAGCATTTATTTTATTGAAGCCAGTCAATTATTAATTTTCTGAAATGCTATTGACATATAAATACAATAAATATATCACTACCATTTAAACCTGAAGTTAATACTATATTGCAAGCGTACAAATGTATATTCCAATGTAATATCGTCCAGGTGGTAAGTAAATAAAACAAAATGCATCTATTTACATCATTAGGCAAATTAATAATTGTTTGATAATTGATATTCATCAAAATTAAGATAATTCGGAATTGTCACTTGACCTCCCTGTCATACGACAACACTGTTCGATAATAAGTTCACCACTCCCTATTCATATTTCATTTCAGCCGTATCTAATTCCACTCTACAAATTTTTCCTTATGCGTCATTTCTCAAAAAACTGGAATGATTTCTGTTTAAACTTCTTAATTTAACTGAACCGGAATCAATGCTCTTCTCGGATTGCCACATTCTGTTGGAAGGTTGTCAATCAACACATCATACAGAAAAAACTAAAAATAGACACACAAATAACAATGCGAAATTAGAATGTCTATCTAAAAATTCTTTTATTCGTTTTACTTGTAATAATATCATGAATTTGTTTTTTAAACGATTCGCTAAATGAAAGATTTCCTTGGTATTGGAATTATAGCGACAAAACTGGACACATGATATATATTCTCAGATTTGGAAACTCTTGTGAATTTTGCATGTTTTCAGTGTGAATGATTTTACACTTCGCAAGTAGCACTAGACAGTTGACACCGGATCCCCTCTGGACTGCCAAGTCATCGGCTATGCCGCCCCACCCGCACATTAGAGCATCCGTCACCGGAGACACGTGCGGTGGGGCGCGTCTCAGCAGCAAGGGCAGCGGCCATCCGGGGAGCAACACCGCGGCGCGGCGGCCGGGCATCGATCCCGCACCCTCGGGTGCGGCCCGTGACAGATGCCCCGCGCGCGGGATTTATAGGGCCCCTGATTGCCGCGGGATGCGCCGTCATAACGAGCAACGCTGCCGCAGCCGCCTGCGTGCGGTGCGGCGCGGCGGACGGCTCGCCCACGCGTCCGCTCGTCGCCGATCACGTCTGCCCGTGCGTCTCCAGCCTCAAGGGGCTTGGCGGAGGATTGTGTTCAGCCCTACTTCCCACCTCTAGGTATAAATAATGTTTGATCACCGGTCACACGATATGTCCAACTCACAGTAAACATAATTTCGAAATGGTTTAATTAGTCATCTTCGTTTGCTTTTAAATGCGTTTGTTGATGTTCTTTTTAATCTTTGATGAAGTCTAAGTTTCATCTTTAGAATCCATCTTTTAGCCCAGATTCAATCTAAGAAAATTGTTCAACGACTTTTTCACAAAAGCAATACATCCATCCTTGACGACTCGTTTATTACAAATAACTATGTATATTCATTGTAAACTAATCAGAATATAACTGAACTATAACTGAAGTAATCAATCATTATTTTGTACCATAGAATACTACGTTTAGCGAGCATTATAAACTGAATGAAAGCCCATCTTAAAGTAGAATTACGATAAATATGTATTCTTAATTAAAATTTCTGGAACTTATTTTACTTAAATCGTTCAATTTTTGCAATTCTTTCTCGAATACGAGTACTAAGGGTGGAAGACAAAGTAAAAAAAACCTAGCTCCGGCAGCTGACAGCCATGAACAATGCAGCAGTTAGTTCGTCACTGAATATATATCCTCCAATACCCGATAAATGTTAACTGCAAAACTTAGCCCGCAGCTTATCTACACAGTAAAATACTCCTAAGTAACAAATAGAAACATTAACAATTTTCGTGACTTTTCCCGTTACCATTTTTGACTCTTCATTAAAACTGATTTTCTCACCTATTACACATGCAAACACAACGGCGGTTGCATATAGGCAACCGCACAGAGCGCATACACAGCAGGAATGCAGTATGATGGACGTATGGTTTGTCAAAAGCAATACTCAGGTATGGCCGCGCGGTGACTGATCATCAGGGACATAACAACGGACATCTGTTTCGCCAGCAATCCGACATCTGCCTCTTTCAGTTTCCTCCAAACATCGTAACACAGCGCTTTGCGGGAGAATTTATCCCATGCCATTCTAACGATTTTGCAGCAGTGAACAAAGGCATACCGGGTTGTGAGCACGAGAAGCACAAAGAGCGGCATATTTGAGCAATTTCGTCTCGCCAAACAATCGAATGTGATTTCGCAGCCAGGTTTGTATTACGCCGGATTTGCCCAGCTGTGAAATTTCCCGTTTTCTATTTACATTCGAGCTAAGTATTGTTCAAACTTTATTGGGAATGTTTGCACCTGAGAAAAGGAACGAGCCGAAACAATTCACATTTACTGAACAGTTTCAAATTAACTCCAATAATACAACTGTTTGTGTTTTATTTATTACTTTCATGCTAATAACCATGCAGTTCAAGAAAGTGAAAAATTCATGCAGGATCACGCATTTCAAGTAGCATTATTTTGTATCAGATAAAACTTTATATGCATCAGTTCTATCATATTTCTCTTTTCATATAATCCACCTGTCTAGTATAAATGTGTAGAAACAGTACATGTAAACACGACCATTAAAGCGCCATACAGATTGTGACAAAACGCAAGTGACAATGATGAGCATTAAAGGCGATATTCTTAAAAGGTGTTCTAATTCATTAGAAACTAATAATTTCTTATTCGATTCATAAAAAACATATTAGTCCCACAAATAAACTAAAAATTTTCATCCACAATTTATTCGAAATTCCTGACAAAAAAAAAGAAAAAATTCTGAAAATTATTATGTTTACATCATACACTTTAATAGAATAATTGACATTATAGAAGACACGCTACAAT